ACTAAGCCTACTATAAGATCGGCCACTAAATCTACTACTACATCGGCCACTAAGCCTACTATGAGATTGGCAACTAAACCCACTAATAGATCGGCCACTAAGCCTACTTCAAGATCGGCCACTAAGTCTACTATAAGATCGGCCACTACGCCTACTACTAGATCGGGCACTAAACCTACTACTAGACACGACACTAAACCTACTACTAGATCGGTCACTAAGCCTACTATAAGATCGGCCACTAAACCTACTACAAGATCGGCCACTAAGCCTACTACAATATCGGCCACTAAGTCTACTATAAGATTGGCCACTAAGCCTACTACTAGATCGGCCACTAAGCCTACTAGAAGATCGGCCACTAAGCCTACTACAAGGTCGACTACTTAGTCTGCTATAAGTTCGGCCACTTAGCCTACTATCAGATCGGACACTACATCTACTACGAGAGAGGAAACTAAGCCTACTACTAGATCGGACACTAAACCTACTACTAGATCTGCCACTAAGCCCATTACAAGATCGGCCATTAAGTCTATTATAAGATCGGCCTCTACGCCTACTACTAGATCTGACACTAAACCTACTATAAGATCGTCCACTAAGCCTACTATAAGATCGGTCACTAAGCCTACTATATGATCGGCCACTAAACTTACTACTAGATAGGCCACTAAGCCTACTACAAGATCGGCCTCTAAGTCTACTATAAGATCGGCCACTACGCCTACTACAAGATCGGACACTAAGACTAATACTAGATCGGCCACTAAGCCTAATACTAGATCGGACGTTAAGCCTACTACTTGATCGGACACTAAACCTACTAATAGATCGGACACTAAACCTAATACTAGACAACACACTAAGCCTACTACAAGATCGGACACTAAACCTACGACTAGATCGGTTACTAAGTCTACTATAAGATCGGCCACTACGCCAACTACTATATCGGCCACTAACCCTAATACTATATCAGACACTAAGCCTACTATAAGAACGGCCACTACGCCTACTATAAGATCGGCCACTATACCTACTACTAGATCGCTCACTAAGCCTACTATAAGATCGGCCAATAAATCTACTATAGGATCGGCCACTACGCCTACTACAAGATCGGTCACTAAGCCTAATACTAGATCGGACACTAATCTACTTTAAGATCGGCCACTACGCCTACTAGTAGATAGGTCACTAAGCCTACTATAATATCGGCCACTAAGCCTACTATGAGATTGGCCACTAAACCTACTACAAGATCGGCCACTAAGTCTACCATGAGATCGGCCACTACGCCTACTACTAGATCGGACACTAAGCTTAATACTAGATCGGACACTAAGCCTACTACTTGATCGGACACTAAACCTACTACTTGATCGGACACTGAACCTACTACTAGATCGGACAGAGAGTCAGGAGGCTGAAGATAACACCAATCAACTAAGGACACATTTTATATTTATATATATATATATATATATATATATATATATATATATATATATATATCATACATATTTCATTAAATAATATAGACAAGTGTGGTCTATATTATTTAATTAAACATGTATGAATGAAAAAATGCTCCCTAAATACACACACACAATATATATATATATATATATATATATATTGAACAATAAAAAATATTAAAAAATTAAAATCTTCAGGCACATTGTGTTGTATATTAACATTCTTTCGTTTTTATTATTATTTCGTTTAGATTCCTCGGCTAGTTTCGCCCAACATGGCCATCATCAGGAGAAAAAAATAATTTCTTCTTGCTGGTAGCAGTGAACTACAGAAATGAATGCCTTGATGGAGAAAAGGAACTTTTGTCTGTAGTTTTCATTTGTTTTTGTTTTTTAATTTTTAACATGAATTTTGGTCAATCCTTGTGTTGATCAAACAGTCTCTTTTAAGTTGTTATTTAAGAGATGGATTGATTCATGCTGCTCTGACTTCCCTTGTGTGTGTGTGTGTGTGTGTGTGTGTGTGTGTGTGTGTGTGTGTGTGTGTGTGTGTGTGTGTAAGTGCCTTCACTGTACCTTGTTTCACAAACTTGTATTAGTTCTCTCGCCTCCCTTAAGACCGTTGAACGCCAATTTGGCTGCTTTTAATCAAGCTGACCTGAATTACCGGAGATCGAACGTGATTTGATCATGGGTGCCAGACGAATGGCATATTTCATTTCTATAACTGTAGGGACATTTGGCATACCTCTATCTTCTCTATCCCATGTTTACCAGCAATGCATGATGTAAAGCATTACCACCCACCGTGGACAGTGCAATGTCCGATCACGGATCCTTAAAGATCGTGACTATAGGAGTCTGGCTAGAATTTTCTGTGTTAACAAACAACTGACACTGGGTCTAATCACAATGTAAGAGGTACAAGCCGCATATCCAGTAGTTTCGTTCAACGTTCTTTAGTTTCCATGGAACATGAGAGAAGACATAACAACGTATTGACATCACGACACCGGACACATCACTTCAACAGGGATCGTGGGTTAGAGATTACAGTTAATTATATATATATATATATATATATATATATATATATATATATATAACCTATTTCTTATTCGAGGTTTTTATTTAATGAGGACGTTTTTTTTTTGCTGTAATCGATCTATTTAGATTATTTTTGCATAGAATCTTCTTACTATAGGAAGTTATGATGGTTTTTTACGACGACTAATTTTGCTTTCAATGCTGAAAACATCTTTGATCTCTTTTGTCTAATTCCGAAGGTCTTTCTAGACATTTTAATAACCAAAACAGTCTCAAAGTTAGCAAGCTTCTTCTCGGTGACTTACACGTCATATTATAGGATACTATGAATGTGGTACTATATGTATCAATGTTGCGACATATGTAGACATTGCAAAGAATAGTAACCTGTAGATCCCTTGAAGCATGAAACTGACAAGACAATCATCAAGTTTCTTTCTCTCTCTCTCTCTCTCTCTCTCTCTCTCTCTCATATATATATATATATATATATATATATATGTATATATATATATATATTTCAATTAAAGATGCAAATTATAATTTATAAATTCATGAATCATTCATACAAAAAACAAATATAGAGGTTAAAGATTTAAATGGTGAGAATACATCTTCGCAAACAATATAAATAAGATACATCAACCCCGAACCTGTATATGAGCGATATGATCCCCGTTTATAAATTCCAGTTGCATAAGGTCTTTTAATTTTTACAAGCTTTCGTCTGTTCCTACAGACATCCTCAGGTATGGAAATAGATTTTATCTTGTTTTTACTTCTCGGTAATAAGAGGGCAACGAAAATATAGATGTAATCCGAAAAATGCTATGAGAAATCTGTTATTGTTTTGGAACGTGCGGTCGCAACGCTGAGTTTGAATTTAAATTTTAAGGTTGTGCGTTTTTGTACAAAAGAGAATTTGCTTGTTGCCCTAAGAGATGTTGGGTAAGATTGATGTCAGCATGTCAGTAGTTGTGGGGACTGGGTAATTTTTGTCCTTATCTTGTATGCATATTCATGACCATGTGTCACATCTTGCCTTACTGGGGAGGTCAGGTAAATAATCACTACTTGGCATTTTATCTGGGATCAAAGTGTGGTATCCATTCTCCTCATTTTAGTTGGGAGAAGTCCTTTTAAATGACTTTGACATCGTATCTTTTTTAATGTATGAATTATCACTTCAGTAGTAGTCTACCAGACTTTGTCATATCCAAAACACTCTCAACCTTCAGCATGATTCTTCTGAATGACTTAAACAACATAGTTTGATATTCAAAGCTCCTCATCACATTGACTCATTCTTTGTGACATTTTAATAATTTTCATCTGTTTCTTCAAACTCAATCTTCCCATTTTGAAACTTAAATCAACTTCACTGAAATAGACAAATTGTAGGCTCCAGACTTTATGCAATCATGAGAAATCTGTCTGCATATCTTAATCTGGAATGATGTTAATCTTGAATGGTATCAAGTGGCTCATAACATTTGCATGCCTTATTTTCAGTATTACGAGGCATTCAGGTCCATATCTTCTTTTGTACTGTGTCCATGTGAATGCAACGATTCGCATTACAGACCTCAGTCAGTCAGTAATGTGCCATGTGTGATAAACGCATAGGCGATCTTGTATTTTTCGATAAATGACTGACGAGGCAGATTTTTTTCCTGCAGTAGGTAGACATTTTTTTTTTTTTTTTTGCGGTAGACCAGTTGCCATCCAAGGCTTTAGAACCCGGTCTGTCCTTCTATTTACTCATACCTGATGGAAAAGAAGAGGATTCCTACCTTTCCCAAAGATTGGACTGGAATTCGAACACGGCATTCCGATTCCTCAATCCAAGTCGCTATCCATTGCTCCAACCTGAAGGCCCATAGATACACCTCCGCAAAGTAAACTGTCATATACTTAAACCCTCTTAGTAAAAAATGAAACAAACTTATTATTTATGGAGGTCACACATTTCTTTCATTCGCCGCTGTATTTATATTTTATACAGCATGCTTTTGTTAGAAATATTTTAATAATTTATTTGGCGGTATTATATTTTATTGTGTAACTTGCGTGTTGTTCATAATATTGTAAATAAAGGTATATAATGGTATTGCAATTGATGTTTATTTTTAATTTCAGATATCTAACGACCACCAGGGTTCGTAAAAAGGTTTAACCTCGCAAGAGAAACAACTTATTGTAAAATTCTTGGATACTACATTAGAAACCGCGAAAAAAAATGAACAGATGCCAGGAAACAATCAGAAACGAAATTAAAAATCGTGGCAAAATGAAAATAAAAATAAAATTGGTTCCAAAAATGCCACAAAAAGAGACTGGGAAGATTTCAAAGGGTAATTGGATTGATATCTTGGAGAAAATATTTTGAGAAAATGTTGAGAATGTGAACAGAAACGCAATATGCAGAATGTTAGGCATATTGGCTAAAGGCAGGAAAACGGCCCAACTTTTCTAAGTGACGTATCCCATCAGCAGGTGGGCGAGCCTGTCTGAGGATAGATAGATAGATAGATAGATAGATAGATAGATAGATAGATAGATAGATAGATAGATAGATAATGAACAGGTTGAGGATCGATAGATAGATAATGAATAAGCTGAAGTAAAGATAAGATTGATAGACAGACAAACAGATAGATAATAAATAGGCTGAAGATAGATAGATAGATAGATAGATAGATAGATAATGAATAGTCTGAGGACAAATTAAATACAGAGACAAACAGATAGATAATAAATATGCTGAAGATAGATATATAATGAATAGGCTGAGGATATATATATATATATATATATATATATATATATATATATATATATATATATATATATATATATATATATATAGATAGATAGATAGATAGATAGATAGACATAGAATAATAGATTGATAATTAATAGTCTGAAGATAGATATATACATAGATAGATAATTAACAGCCGGAGCATATATATATATATATATATATATATATATATATATATATATATATATATATATAGATTCTGCCAATATTTCTCAGATGAGGTATTATCCTCATCTTTGTCGCCATATTTATCACAGCGTTTCGGGCGTTGTACGCTCCGGCCTTCTTCAGGTGGTTGGAATTTCTAACTGAACCCTTTATTTCGCTCACTGGGGTAGACTGTTCTAGACTGTTCGTGCCATGTTTGATGGATGTCAGTTATCAGTTATCTCCTGCTAATTTCCCTCTGAAAGTTCTCCACTGCCTTAACCCAGTATTGAACTCACACTCTTTCGGTCCTGTCTAACCAACGCCTTTATCCACTGGTATGAATTTCTGGATAGTATAAGCCTAATGTCTTCAGCAACCAGTGCTCATATTTACCAGTGCTCATATTGCAATTTTGCTGTTATCATTTCATGTTTTTACCAGAGCTCATATTGCAACTTTGTTGTTATCATTGCTTTTCTCTGGCACTCCTTATTACTGGTTCCCATATTGTATTTATTTCTATGCTTGGTCGGCTCAGGAGACTTTTGTGGCCTAGCATATGTGCATATTCAAAAGCTTGCCGACACTTCGCAGATATCTCTCCCGAGTAAGACCCCCCATAGAGGGGAACATGACTAAAGACTGTGTGTACGCTATCTCGTGCAGCTGCGGAAAGGAATATAAAGGAGAGACAGGCCGCCCCCCTCAAAGGTAAGGCTTCAAGAACACCAGAAAGCTGTAACACGAGGGAAGTAGAAAAATCAGGCGTGGCTGACCACATATGGAGAGAGAAGGAGATCACCGCCCTCTGTGGGATCATGTTGAGATCTTAGACAAGGAACACCATTGGAAAATTCGTAAACTTAAGGAATCAGCACATATGCTGAGCCACAAAAATCTCCTGAGCCGACCAAGCATAGAAATAAATACAATATGGGAACCAGTAATGAGAAGTGCCAGAGAATAGCAATAATAACAACAAAGTTGCAATATGAGCTCTGGTAAAAACATGCAATGATAACATCAAAATTGCAATATGAGCACTGGTAAAAATGGTTGCTGAAGACATTAGGTTTATAATACCCAGAAATTCATACCCTGATGTCATCATCCTCATGCAAGATAATGTTTGTTCAATAACTGATTCTTTAGTAAAAAAAAAATGATGGTAGAAGCTGTTCCCCCAAAACTGCTAATGTTCTTTATTGTCTATCTTCTACACATTAGCCTCTCATCCAAATACGCTCAAATGCTTGACCAAGGTTAATCTTGACTCATGTATTCAATGCCTTGCCTGAAGTATCTTTCATAATATTGTTCAAAATACGGATGGCTTCCTCTTTAGGACCTCCTTTCTCTTCAAGGCTTTCATTTCCACGTCGAGACACATGAAAACAAGCATGAACCGTGCGTTTTATTAACGAATTCCCCACTCGGTGCTCAGTATATTCTCTCTCTTTTTCGTGGGCTTTCGCATCAATCTTTCGGCTATTCACAAAAAAAAATAAACATACTCTCGACACACACACACAACTCGGGTTTATCGTAATCAAGTATCCGTACCTGTATATATTAATATAATGTATACGACAAATATTTAGCACAGATATTTACTCTAAAGTTTATTCCAGGCACACATTTAATGACGATATGTGCCTACAGCATGTTATATATATATATATATATATTTGGTTGTGTGTGTGTCTGTGTCTGTGTGTGTCTGTGTGTGTGTGTGTGTGTGTGTGTGTGTGTGTGTTTGTGAATAATAAATGCGAAAATGTCGCGTGGGTCTCACTTTCTCAATTAAAGTGACACAATTATAACATTCAATATCTCCCTCTATATAATAAATGCAAAGATGCTTGCGTCTGTCACACTTTTTTCAATTAAAGAGACACAATTCTCTAACTTTTAAATATCTCATCTTCTCCAAATGAGACCTGATCATCCAGGATTGGAATTGAATCCTCTGATTGCAAATTTAGTTCTCTGTGAAATTGAAGACAAAATTATGAACTTGGCTCAAGTAGTTTTCAGCAATTTTATTTTGCCAAATCCAAACAGAGAAACTGGACAAATTAACAGAGAAATTTGTTCAAAATAATGAGCCCCTGTTAAGCCAAGCCCAGCAGCAAGTGCATCAGAAAGTCCTTGATCAATGGAGGGGTTTTCTTCTTGGATGCACCTGGCAAAAATTTTGTAACTAAACTTCTTTTATCTGCAGTGAAACTCCAAAGAAAAGTATCTCTGGCAGTAGCATCATTTGGAATTTGTGCTAACCGATAGCCTGGAGGTCTTACAGCACACAGCACCTTCAAACTTCCATTGGATTTGAAATACAATGAAACCCCTATTTGCAACATCAAAAGAGGAACCAACTTGACTAACCTACTGGAAGAGACAACCTTCATTGTATGTATGAATATGACGGCACAGAATCGAGTATTTGAAGCCCTGGACAAAATACTCCAAGACATTAGACAGAATTCACAAGTCATGGGAGGTATCAATGTGTAACTCTGGTGATTTTAGACAAACATTACCAGTCATTGAAAGTGCCACTCCAGCTGATGAAATCAATGCTTGCCTGAAAAATTCTTACATCTGGAGCCATGTTCAAAGACTCAACCTGAAAATAAACATGAGACCTTGAATCAGGAAGTTTTACTGCTTTGTTGTTGCAACTTGGCAATGGAACCATCAAGATGAACCAAAATGGAAATATTTCACTCCCAACTGGTTGTGGAGTTTCAGTCTCAAGTATCCACGACTTTATTAACCATGTTTATCCAGACATTAAGCACTATTTTATGGATTCAGTCTGGCTTTGTGACCACTAACCCGTATATATATAAATAGCCAAGAAAAATAACAGCAATCGTGGCCTGACGATTGCATCTAGCATAAAACAGACTGTCGCCTCTAAGTGTTGACTTCTATGTTCACTTTTATATTTACACACTCTATCTCTGATAGTGAGCACTTTATCCCATAAATATAGCACATCTTAAGACTATATTTCTTCATATATATATATATATATATATATATATATATATATGTGTGTGTGTGTGTGTATATATATATATATATATATATATATATATATATATATATATATTATAAAGCAGTAATGTTTAATTTTCTAGTTGATAATAACTTTCAAATAGTTTCATAAGCTTAAATATTACCAAGAGGAAAAACTCTAATTTATTTTGATTGTTTTATTGTTAAATAGAAGATTGCAAAAAAATCTTGTTTTTTTTTTTTTTTTGTTACTACGGAAGTTTTTTTTTTTTTAATTATGTGCTTATTGTGTTTGCAATAAATAGTAAAATAATGGTATGTCTCAAAGAATTATTTTATCGATAAACGAAATTCTAGTTTATTTAAAAAAATTGCAATAAGTTTACTTCAAGGTATGTAAATGTCACTAAAATTTAACACGAGTAAAAACAATTCAAGACGAATGCGCGCGTGTTAGAGAGTGGCTCTCTCTGATATACACACACGCACACAGACACACACGCACACGCACACACACACATATGTAGTTTTAGATTTAATTTAACTCTTCCTTCTTCAAATGACCCCAATTTAATATCATGTTATATCCGGGTCTAATTTTATAAAACCTCTTTCCTTTAAGACAAAGACCTTCCACCCTCCCGTAACCACTGTCTCGTGCCTTTCGTCTGACTGAAACATTGAAATGGATAAAGTTTTTCGAATTTTTTTTTTTTTTTTTTTAGCTTTCACAGTTAAATTTTTATTTCCGACACGAACTCAGTCTATACTGGGGTTGAATAAAACTGATGAATTATATTTTCGTCGATCTAAATAAGCTTATTCACGATATATAAGGTGATTTTGGATTTTATTGTGTATTAGTTTTTGCTCTGTAATAATAAATATATTGAGCTCTTTTTGTGGAGTAGGTTTAATATTTTATATTACTAGGATCCATTTGAATTATATACCAACGGATTTATTACCTTTACTATATATATACATATATTTATATTATATATTATATACTATATATATATATATATATATATATTTATATTTATATTTATATTATATATTATATCCTATATATCTATATTTATATTATATACTTATTACCTTTACTATATATATATATATATATATATATATATATATATATATATATATATAAAACTAAAAAGCACACACAAATATATATATATATATATATATATATATATATATATATATATATTTATATGCGTGCATTTATAGTTTTGTTATGTTTAACCGACCGAGTGTTTAATGTTATTGTGTTTTTTTCCATTTGTCAAATATGTTGTTATACATCCAATTCCAAAATGGAAAAAACTGTGCAATATTTATTCAGAGATGTTGTCACATATTCGAGAATTAAAAAACAACAAGAAGAATTAAGCATGCAAAGTTTGGCGGTAGAATTTAAGAGACTGAATTACTGCTGACTCATTAAAATCGTAGAGAAAGAAAGAAAGAAAGAAAGAAAGAAAGAAAGAAAGAAAGAAAGAAAGAAAGAAAGAAGACCAATAAAATACAAAAGAAAGAAAGAAGAAAGGCTATTAAAATAAAAATAAAACAAAGAAACAAGAAGAGAAAGAATGTAAAGAAAGAATAGAAAAGAATGTTTGTGGGAAGGAAAGAAAGAAACAAAGAAAGAAAGTAACAAAGAAAGAAACAAAGAAAGAAACAAAGAATGCTGATAAAATAGAAAACAAAGAAAGAGAGAAAAAATATTAACAAAGAAAGAAAGAAAAAGCAAAGGAAGAAAGAAAGATAAATATTGATTAAATGCATTTTGTATATTTTTGAAAAAGATTATTAAAAATTCAACAACACAGACTTCAACAATATCCAATGTATATACATGTTATTTTTGTTTTATTTTATACCATGTCTGGGTATACATATACTTGAGTGGGCATGGAAACACAGTCACCCATGTATATATATATATATATATATATATTTGTGTGTGTGTGTGTGTGTGTGTGTGTGTGTGTGTGTGTGTGTGTGTGTGTGTGTGTGTGTGTGTACACTGCGTATTAAGATTTGGATTAATCCATAGCGATCTTTCTGTTCCCGGACATTCCTTTAATCCATCAATAATCAGATCAAGACTTGTTAATGACATTTACAATTTGTTTTTCTATCACTGTCTGAGAAAGAAAGAAAGAAAGAAAAGAAAGAAAGAAAGAAAGAAAGAAAGAAAGAAAGAAAGAAGGCTAACAAAATAGAAGACAAAGATAGAAGAACAGAAAGAAAGAAAGAAAGAAAGAAAGAAAATAGAAATAGAAAAATCAAATAGCTAATGAAAAAAAAGAAAAAGAATATCAACTAAAGAGAAATATCAAATATGAAATAATAAATGATTGCACTGAGAAAAGAAATGACAGAATGAAAAAAGAAAGAAAGAAAGATAGATAGAAAGAAGAAGAAAGGATAATAAAATAGAAAGAAAGAAAGAAAGAAAGAAAGAAAGAAAGAAAGAAACAACAAAAAAGAAAGAATAGGAATAGAAAATAGACAAAAATAAATGAAATAGCTAATGAAAGATAGCGCATAACAAAAAGAAAGAAAGAAAGAAGGACGGAAAGGAAGAAAGAAAGAAAGAAAGAAAGAAGGAAGGAAAGGAAGAAAGAAAGAAAGAAAGAATGAACGTTCAAACTTAAAAATCTAAGGAAACAGAAAATACGAAATCTGTGTTAAATTATAAAATGAAAAAAAAGCAAAAGGAAAATGAGGAAAAAACTACAAAATATCGAAATGAAAGCAGATGAAATTAACCTTCACCTTTGTTGCCAACTTGCAATAGCCTATTCTTTTTTTTTCCGTCTTCGTGGAAACTAACGCCGTACACGATATGCTTAATTAGACTGATATGCGCCTCATCAAAACATCACGACGTCTTTCCTAAACTGAAACTTACATCGAAGATCTGAGGTAAATAGGACTCGAGTGAAATTCTGGGTTGCGACCATGTCAATAATTGAGTGCAAAGCGTGCGGCTTGCCTTGATGAAAAACATTATTATTGATTAAAGCTGAATCAGGAACATCTTGAGTGGATCAATATATTTATGGGTGTGTATTTGAGCGACAGCTAGCCTGTTAGAAAGACACAAGTGGAACCAACGATATGGTTCCGATCTAGTCAGTATATTGAGACATTTGAGAAAGGCATGGATCTATAATGTTCAGCATTGTATTGCTTTGAAAAAAAATCATTATAAGCCAGCGATATTTTTTTATTCTATTTTTCTTCAGTATGCTAGACACGGTGGAGTAATGGATAGAGGCTCAGATTGAGGAATCGGAGAGCCGAGTTCGAATTCCAGTCGAATCCATTACATTCACTTACATTCTAATACCCTTGGGAAAGGCATGAATCCTCTTCTTCTCCTCCCAGCTATGGGTAAATACCAGCACAGATCGGTTTCTATAGCGTTGGATGGCAACTGGTCTACCGTATAAAGAAATGGCAACCTATTGCGGGAAAAAATGAATCAAAAGATACGTCATCGCCTAATCGTGTATCACGCATGGCGCATAACTGACTGATGCTAGCGATCTCCTTAGTTTTATTATCTTTGATTTGTTGGAAAAATTACTTACGTCTCCCGTTGAAACACCAATCACTGAATTTAAGCAACGTTGAGCATGTTCAGTATCTTGATGGGTGACTGCTTAGGAATAATACATGGTAATCGATGGTTAGAGTTCTGATTCTAATCAGTTTTACTAGATTCATTTACGCAGAAATACTCTTCTCCCCCAGCTATGGGTTAATTAGTAGGACTTGTATCATTAAAACATTTATTTTCTCACGAAAAATTTTAAAATATTTTCTGGTTTTAATTAACCTACAAATTGAAATAAGTTCTTGTAGACAGACTGGCAATGAAGAATTGCTTTTTCCACCCAGTAATACTGCGTACAGGGCTATGGGGTCAAATCTACCCCATTGGGCTAGATAACCGTAGATCATGCAAAAAGGTTAAACCGCCCTTTGACAGGTCTTGGTCTTTAAACCTACTGTGTATCTAACCACCCTTCTGATCAGTAAAGCTTCGTGGTAAAACTGGTTTAGTCACCGATGACCTGGCCAAGCATCAAGTATTAATAGGTTACATGGTACAAGTTGCACTCATTGACTTACTTTTGCATATATATATATATATATATATATATATATATATATATATATATATATATATATTTGATGTTAAAATGCTAGTACTTACGAATAGTCCTCTATTCATCATCAGGCATATAAATACAAATAAACTGAAAACTACAGACATCAAGTTTATCGACGAGGATCAACTCGCACTATGGATTAACAGTATTTTAATGCATATATTATGTTTCTAGCGATGGATGTCGCCAATAATCGCATTAATACTTCTGATTGATTCTATGTGTGATTATTTCTTTGTATGTAAATTATATGCTGCCTAATGTTTTATGTTTATATATATATATATATATATATATATAAGGTATGAAAATGTACCAAATGATTTGCAAAATCAAATTAGTAGGTCATCGTTTTGAAGATTGATTGTCATGCAATCTATTTGATTATTTCCAATAGAAATTCTCTAGAGCCACTCAAGGTAGCGTGTTATTGAATCATGTGAGTTGTATCTATGTAAGAGGAGATAGTAGAAAGTTTAGATACTGAGGATATGGAGGATAGATAAAGAGTTCATTTGAAGAGGTTAAGAGTGTAGTGTTCTGGGAAGCATCCACGCGGGTGTATATTCCACGAAGTAGCGGTCCTGGGGAAAAAGCAGTCTGAATGCAGCATGGTTATATCAAAGGAATGCGAGGAAAATGAGGGCGGTTCTTGTGGATGTAGCAAGACGTAGTAAAGGTCTGAACTGGTAGCATTAAAGAATGGAGCTCGTCTGAACATTTGCCATGGAAGTAGCAATAGAATAGCAATAGGCACACGATATTCAGTCTGTGGGAAAGAAACTTCAAAGTGAACAAATATTCTCCCAAAGCACGGCGCAACCGATTTTGAACTCAAAGCTTATAAATAAAGATTCAACAGCACCAGAATTCACTACAGTTCAAAAGTTTGAAGCCACCCCCAGAATTAGTACGGAATGAACTTGAGAGAAGATTGAAACCTTTCCATCCCCAAAATGGAAAAGAATTCTTAGAGTTATTGAAAAAAGAATGAAATCGATTATCAAACTTATACTTTGAGAAACTTTTACAACGAATGCTAAAAATGTGTGCTGCAAAAATCAAGACTAAAGGAGGATATTTTGACGAGAGCAAAATTTAATCATATTTTTTTTTTGTCATAATAAAATTTCATTTTTCCCATATCTTAACAGAAAATGTCCAGTATTTAAAACTTCGCCAAAAATATTCAGCGAAAATCCACTTTACGCTTGGCGTCAATCTCCAATCTGCACACACTCTTAATATCATCTGGTATATATCATTCACCACATCACGAAGGGAATAGGGCCTGCAATAAACCCCAATGCCAATTCTGTAGACATATCATCACTGATAGCAATTTCACACCTTCTGGCACTGACGTAGTATTTTAAAGCATCGGTTCTAAATTGTGACAGTTCAAATCTTATTCATTTGCTTTTCTGCCACAAATACAAAAAAAGGAAATTATGTTGGAGAAACTGGAACAGGATTCTGTCGTCGGTTCAATAAACATAAAATCACATCCGGGGCAACAACAACCATTTCTCGGTCGCTGTACACTTCAAGCAACTATTTCATAGCATTGATGACATCAGATGCGTGCTTTTAGCGTCTTCATTCAACAGCCGAGAAGGAAGACGTAAACGTGGATGTAAATAAATAAAAGGTTAATATATAATAAGTAGCAATTTTATTGATAGTATTGGTATGATCTTGTTGACTTTTTATTCTTCAAATTTTGTTAACCGGCCTATTAAATCCCTCTCTCTCTCTCTCTCTCTCTCTCTCTCTCTCTCTCTCGCTCTGTTTCCTTTACACATATATATATATATATATATATATATATATATATATATATATATATAAAGAACAGTAAGATATATAATCCGGTGTTCTTATAGATATTTTTATTTTCACAAAATAGTGCTCAATGTAAATTTACAGAGCATTAATATTATAAATTAACTGAATTCGCTTGATGATGAAAAGGAACTAATGTTTTTTAATTTAATTACAAAATTAAATTTGAAGCTTTTAGTTTCCATTTTTGAAACAACACGAAAAAACACATTTTAAATCAGTTAATTTATAATATATATATATATATATATATATATATATATATATATATATATGCATGTATGTATGTATTAAAAATAAGAGAAGAGAGGTGCTGCAAACGTTTTTGGTTGTAATGTGTTTTTTTTTGTTTTTTTTTAGAAAAAATATTATGCTTTCTTTTCCATAATTTTACTACACGGGTTTCTGGTCTCATGACCGTCTTCAGGTAAAAGCGGAGATTTCCACATATTATTAAAAATAATTAATTTTTTCCTTGTGTTTTTCAATGTTAAATATTCTCGATATGAGACATTCTCTGTTTCTGTGTTAGTAATCCGAATTTCTTTCTTGAATTGGCAGTGAAGAGTTCTGTGCGAAGGGTCATAAAACAATCAAGGTTGGTCCAAGAGAAATGATGAATTACTTATCGGCATTTTGTCTTTTAATGTTTTACTGACCCCTGTGCATTCTTAGATCTGTTTCCATTTTCGTGTGTTTCTGTCAGCATGCGTGTATATATGTTATTCAAACATACCAACCAAAAATAGGAACTACTGGAGGAAGAAATACAGAAACGCTAATAGAACATTTCAAAACGCAGTTTGGATACCTGGAAAATATTAAAAAGTTACGCATCTAAGAGGAAGCGTACCGAATGAAAAAACAGAATCTCCAAATCTGGAACAACATGCTCAATCAAAGAAAACTGGCATATTTCGACGCGATCAAAAATCAACAGCGAAAATATACAAAACTTTCATAGAAATGGATGAAATATTTATTCCAAGGAAATTCCGCACAAAGATTAAAACCCACAAGACACGAAAAAACAAAAATAAATAAAGAACACACTAAGCCTAACAAAAATGCAGGCCCAAATTGAAACACAAGAAGACAAAACAATAAACGTTACAATGAAATACACAGAGATTGATAACAAATTATTAACAAAAATCAAGGAATTATGTCCCAAAGAAACTCACCAATTCCTGTCTGAAGTATGGGAGTCAAAATGTAAAAAAGAAGAGGAAAAATCTCGGAATATCTTGGAAAGAAAGATAACCTGGTTAAAAGCATTACCAAGAAAAGAAAAATTGGAAAATGAGACAAAAACAAAAAAAAGAGTCCAAACTCACAAAAAACCCCAATACCCAACACAAAACAATCATCAGCAAATACAGAGAAAACCACTCAACAGAATCAAAAACCCGAATCCCTACTACCCACACACAAACCGACCCACAAGGTAAGCACTCTAACACATTCTACCATACGCAAACACATCCACAAGGTAGGAACCCCAATACATACCACCACCACACGCATTCACACCCACATAAAAAATACAATTATGAACATACACTGAGCAGCGCAAAAACAAATCTGTACAGACCACCACACCATAACACAAACAGAGAAAGATCAGAACACACACACATTCACAAAACCAAATCTTACAAATACCACCTAGCACAACAAACCAAACCTGACAACCATTACCTATACCCAGGAGTACAACCAGAATTTCCCAAAAAGCTCTACACACAATCCACATACAACCCATACAAAAACAACAAACCTAGAAACATCTGGAACAGGCCCCCTAACAAAAACAAACACACCTATATAGAGCCATCAAGAAACAACAACCCCAATTTTACCAAGGGGAAACTCTCACTGGCTAGAAAACTCAAAATGTACAGGAAGAAGGTATCTCTTAGAAAACCCGAGATATATTAAAAGAAACAATAATTATTTTTTAGGAGCCCCAGTCCGAACAAGAAAACCAGTTTAGATGACACAAAACCCAAAATAATAAACCTATCTACATATACACTTACAAATGACGAAATCAATCTACTGAAATTGGGCCTAAAATTCTGCCCTACTCCTAAAAGCAATATAGTAGAATTAAAAAAAAGAAGACCTTAAGGAATTTGAACGCAAATTAAGACTAAGCGAAATATTTAACAATAGCGAAAATATTACAGATGAGTAAAAAACAAAATAGCGAAAATATTACAGATAGTAAAAAACAAATCCAATTTATTCCCAAACAAAAACAACAATACCAATGAGATAAATATATTTTTTGAAAAACTCTGGAACCTCGACCTACAGGAAAAATCTAAACCATTCGACAACCTTACATACAGACAAAGACTAGCCTTAGAGAACATTCGAAAAAATAATAACATAATTATAAAAGAAGCAGATAAAGGCAGCGCTATAGTAATCATGGACAGAACATACAATTAAACAAAAATTCTAGAAACACTAGAGAATAGGAACAGCTACAAATTAATTGATACTAACATAGACAAAAACATTATAACAAAAATTACAAAACTCTGCATAACACATAATAAAATATTAACAAAAAAAGAGAAGGATTTCCTAATAAACTTTGTAGCAAAAACAAGTAATTTCTACGGACTACCTAAAATTCATAAATCGAGTGAAATAAAAGCAGCTATACATACACAAAAATCTGAATACATTAGCATCCCAAACCCCAGTGACCTTACATTCAGACCAATAGTAGCAGGACCAGCCTGTCCAACTAGCAAACTCAGTAACCTAATAGACATAATATTCGAACCATATACTATTCAAATTAAAAGCCACATCAGAGACGATATTCATTTCCTTAGCTGCATACCACAAAAAAGGTAGATCCGGGAACGCTTATGGCAACTTTTGACATTAGTAGCCTATACAGTAACATACCCCATGAACTAGGAAAAAGCGATCTCATTCTGGATTGAAAAACATCCAGAAATACTACATCCGAGATTCACTAAAGAGTTCATTATCGATAGTATAGACCTAATTCTAAACAATAACACCTTTGAATTTGACAACAAAAACTATATCCAAACCCTAGGTACTGCGATGGGAACAAAAATGGCACCAACATATGCCACCCTAACATTAGCTTACCTAGAAGAAATCCTCTATGAAAAGATAGAACAAATATATGGGGCAAATATAAAAACCCAATTCACTAAATCTTAGAAAAGATACTTAGATGATTGCTTCATCTTTTGGAAATTCTCATGGGGTGATATTAACCAATTCTACACACTACTTCAAAACTTACACCCCAAAATCAAATTCACGCAAAAATATAATTTTAACGAATTACCATTTTTAGATATACTCATTAGAAATAAAAACAACCACATAATCATAGATATCTACCACAAACCCACAGACACCCAACAATACCTTCATTTCAAGAGCCATCATCCAAAAAGCTGCCTAAAATCCATCCCCTATTCCCTAGCACGTAGAATTTATACAATAGTGACTGATAGACACCTCCGAAAAATCCGCTTAGAAGAACTACATAAAACTCTCAAAAAACGAGGCTACCTCACAACACTAATAAACAAAGGTTTTGAACTCGCGAAAAAATTCCTCTAGACCAACTTAGAAATAAAAAGAAACGTAACGTCGAACAAACTCTAACATGTCTCAACATACAACAAAAACAATCCAGAAATATTCACAGAAATTACAAAAAGTCTAGACCTACTTAGCAAGAATAATAAACGGAATAATATACTAAAAACAACCAAAATAATTAAAAGCAAACACCAATCTCAAAACCTAAAACACATATTAACTTCACCTAAATTTAACCAACACACAATACAGGGAGTCACAAAATGCAACAAAAAAAGATGTGGGGTTTGTGACATCATTATAGAAGGAAACTCCTACACTTTTGAAAACAAAAAAAAAACATTCACAATAAATAAAAACTTAAACTGCAACTCCAAAAATGTAATTTATGTATTTAAATGCACAAAATGTACGAAGTCATATATAGGCATCAGCCAACAACTGAACGACAGGGTCTCCCTACACAAAAGCAATATAAAATTGACAGATAACACAAAATTTTTTGTATCACAACATATCTTCAAATGTAACCATCATGCCGATATATCAAACAGACGATTATTCGTACCTACAAATACAAAAAAAAAAATCTTCATAAACAAATTTAAACCCGAACTAAATAGGTCATAACCCCACACGCAAAAGCACACAACATGCACACAAGGTGACCAAATACAGTGATAAAATCACTAACATACATGAACGCACGCTCACATGAGCGCAAACTCACATACGGGAGACACGAAGATATAGATATATATACATACACACACACACACACATATATATATACGCATGTTGACAAAACAGGGAAACTACTCACGAGCACGCACACAAACCCCACACAACTTAGGAAGTATGTGTGTATGTATGTACGTATGTGTGTGTATGTGTGTGTATGTGTATGTGTATACTGGTTCCATGTAGCTTGAAAAGTATATGTGTGTATGTACTGATTCCTTGTGGTCGGACAGTGTGTATGTGCATATGTGTATGTATGTGTGTATGTGTACAAATGAGTTTACTAATTCCTCGTAGTAAGACAGTATATGTATGGAGAGGGGGAATATACGCACGCATATATACACGCATGGTGACAGAAACACACGAAAATGGAAACAGATCTAAGAACGCACAGGGGTCAGTAAAACATTAAAATATAAAATGCCGATAAGTAATTCATCATTTCTCTTGGACCAACCTTAATTGTTTTATGACCCTTCGCGCAGAACTCTTCATTGCCAATTCAAGAAAGACATTCGGATTACTAACACAAAAACAGAGAATGTCTCATATCGAGAATATTTAACATTGAAAAACAAAAGAAAAAATTAATTATTTTTAATAATATGTGGAAATCTGCGCTTTTACCTGAAGACGGTCACGAGACTAGAAACACGTCTAGTAAAATTATGGAAAATAAAGCATAATATTTTTTCTAAAAAAAAAAAAAAAAAAAAACTCTCACATTACAACCAAAAACGTTTGCAGCACCTCTCTTCTGTTCTTTTTAATATACATACTTTTCTCTCGTTGGAATCACTACAAACTCTTTCTACTCTCTCTCTCTCTCTCTCTCTCTCTCTCTATATATATATATATATATATATATATATATATATATATAGTAAATGTACGCGTATGTGTGGACGTAGATGTAAATAATATTTAATTCTTGGCATGTTTCTTACTCCATCTGCCATCTTCAAAACTTGCGTTTACGTTCTGACATGATAATCGAACGCGCTCAATGTTTCGCCGTGTTCATTTCACCGCTAAATGAACTGGTTATCCTTCCCACTGATGGCTGCTGACCTTTTTCCCGCCTTTCCCAAGTTATTTCCCGCCATTTCTCTTGCACATTGATGCATTTATGTAACACAACACGACTCGAAATATATCGATTTATTCCGTTCTCTGGGGGTCATTCCCCAATCATGTGGGCATACAAAATTTATACCTCATAATTAAGGTAGAAATACACATTATTTCTATGCATATTCAGGCAGGTATTGTAATGTATATTCCGCAGGTAGGAGTTTCATTGAATATCAATCTTATTCTCATATTCTTTAACTGGTCGTTTAGAAAATACGAGCTGAATTACGACCATCCGTGAACACTCAGAAACACGGGTTTTGGACATATAAACACAATAAATATTAATAAAATGGAGACAATGTATGGTTGATAGCGTCGGATGTGAGCTCTGTACTGGGAATTTCAAAATCAAGCAGTTTTTGAAGTTTAACTATCTTGCTAATGCAATAGTGCAACACAGAAATCCGAAGGTGCATACAAATAGCAAAAAATGCCTACCAGATATTAAGCAACGTATTAAGTAAGAAATATACTTTGAAACAAAGCGTTCTGAATTGATTAGTAGTGCCTAATCTATTTTTTATCAATGCTTACCCAACACAAGACCCAAAACTTGCGTGCAAAGCGTCAACAACCGAAGAGGCAGCGACGACGGGCGCCGCCGACCTCAACGACAGCAGCTGCTCCTAACGACGACGATGCCTGTTATGTCAGGCTCAAGTGAAACGAAAAGATGCGTAATACCGTGACGGTATCTGTCGCGGTTCCGGCTTAGAGGTATCGTGCGGAGGCAGTACGGTACCGGCGCTCATTCGAGCGAGCACGTGAAACATTGCTCCGATCCTGCGGTTCCTCTCGTAATGGAGGGGTCAGGCGTGGCTGCGGCCGACCTAACACACGTGTCGATCGGTGAGATAAAACTAACTATATTCCATTCGTAAGAAGTAACTTCCTCTCGAACAGCTTCATCCCATAGGTCACTGCCCTGTGGATCTGACTTCCAAGACGACGTTTTGCTGATCACTACAATCTTATCCGGTTCACGTCTAGTATTAAGCGCTATCTTTCCCATATATCCGCATAAACTATGCACCTTACTTCTGTAACCCTCTACCTCGAGAGACGCCTGAGCCTTGGACAGGTTGAACTTCACAGAGAAATGCTGAGAAAAACCCTCATTAAACGATTACTAGTAGTTAGATTTAATGCCTCAGAAACAAAATTGATCTATTTTACCGACCCTGTCTCCTATTAGAATGTCTTATGCTCAATTCCACGAAAGTGCTTCTCTGCGACTGCTTGATCTCACACTCTCTGCTGACCTGAGATGGAACAATTACATTGAATCAATAGCTTCATCTACTGCAAAGAAAGTTGGTTCTCTGTGTTGCGCTTGAAAGTTTTTCTCACCCGAGTCCATTCTTCAAATCTATAAATCAACCATTTGCCCTTGCCTGGAATATTGCTGTCATATATGGTCTGGAGCCCCCACTGTTCGTCTTAAGTTCCTCGACAAAATCCAGAGACAAATATGCAATATGATTGGCCCTGGTCTGGCATCTCGTTCACAGTCAATTTCTCACAGACGTGTTGTCGCCTCCACCTGTCTTTTCTACAAATACTTTCACGGTAACTGCTCCGACGAGCTACTTTCGTTGGCTCCCAAACTGCATGAATTTAAACGTGCTACTAGGTTGGTATCTTGGTTCCACCCTTTCAGTGTCGAAACGGTTAAATATAGCCGTCTCTTCTACTGTTAGAACTTCATGTTTCGCATTTCCCATCTGTGGAACTCCCTTCCTCTTACTTGCTTCCCTGATAGCTATAACCTCCAACTATTCAAATGCAATATCAATCGGCATCTCCAAATGCGTTGATCTATTCCCCGTCCTTCTCTTCATCCTTTCCTCTTTCACATCTCTTTACTCTTGCTCCCACTCTCTGTAACTCCTTGCGTGCTAGTGGCACTCCAACCTTGTTTGAGGTGAAATGCTTAAAAATGTACCCGTCAAAAATTAATTATCTTCCTCTATGAAATTTTTGATGTATCATATTTAATGAATAAATAAGGTCCTTGTGAAAATTTCCCTATTGCATCGTTAAATATTGAAGATCAACAACATTAAAGAAATATTGCAGTAACAACCATGAGTATTTTTGTAATGTAAATGAAGATTTGTTGTCACTTTTGTAATGCTCATTGTAGTAGAGACTTTGTAATCGCAGGTACAACTATAGTAACACTGTTGAACAATACTGGTGTCAGACGCCTTCAAATATAACTTGCACTAATAGTACTTGCTCGATAATACTCGCTTGAAAGGTAACCACCAAATAGTGATCCAAATAGTAATCTGTATAGTGAATACTTAGATGCCATGCACTAATTCCCATATATACAGTTCCTTTACTATCACGTGATCTACTTATTCAAAATGGGATCACCTGTATTTGCTCTCTGTTGATCTGTGTTCAAACTCCAGTGTAGGCAATGACACTTTATTCCTATATAACAGTATTGAGCACATTTTTAAAAGTAAATGCTATGAACAGCAGAATTTTACTTCATCTGTTCTTTTTCTCACATTTGTACATACATACATATATATATATATATATATATATATATATATATATATATATACCTAGTAATTACCTAGGTTTCACCCTAAACGGATCGTCAGGAAAGTTTCCTGACGATCCGTTTAGGTGAAACTAAACAGGTTTGTCTGGCTCACTAGGTGTATCTAGGTCTGCTCTACGGTTGTATTGAGCTCTTTTGTTAGTTAGTTGTTACTCGTATCAGGGTTTTTCTTTGGGCTTCAGACCTGCATCTGTGCGATTTTTTGTCGGCAGAAGTTCATGTTTGTAGCTCTTTCTTTTTTAAAACCTTTTTTTCCCTCGAGATTGATTTGATTAGCAAATCAAAAATTTGAGGGTTTTTCAGAAACGAGTCTAGTTATATATATATATATATATATATATATATATATATATATATATATATATATATATATAAACCAACTGAGGATCACATAAAACTATTTGTCATAGAGAAATCCTGTATCTCTTTGATCTTGGAATTTGTACACCATCTCTTTTCTTCATTGGTTTCCTATTGTAGATTATCTGTTCTGAATTACTGAGTCCGGTTTGTTTTTACTGAGATTAGGTAATTTTTTCTAGTTTTATTTTTGGGTGCTCAGACCAGGTTTATTTGGCTATATTGTTTATTTTGCTATTTTGTTTATGTTGCTATTTTGTTTATTTGGCTATGTACTGGTGTTCATCAAAAGTTGAAAGTTTATTTTTGTGATGTCAACGAACCCTCGTTGCCACTTTAGTAATGTCAACGAATACTCGTTGTCACTTTCCTGATGCTCCTTGTAGTAGAGACTTTGTAATCGCAGATACAACTATAGTAACGCCGTTGAACAATACTGGTGTCAGACGCCTTCGAATAGCACTCGCAGTAATAGTACTTGCTCAATAATACTCGCCCCAACAATAATACGTATAGTGATCTGAATAGAAAAATAGTATAGTAAATAGAGAAGAGAATAGCAGTCCGTATAGCAACAGAGGATAGAATAGAAATGACGATCCGTGTCGTAATAGAGGATAAACTAGAAAGTGTGATTAATTAGACACCCGCTACCTCCCATATGTATGTTTCCTCTATGGTCACATGGCCTACTTAATTCAATAATGCGATCGCCTGTGTTTGCTAACTGGCGATCTATGTTCAAACTCAAGTGTCGGCAGCGACACTTTATTCCTATTGAACACGTATGAATGCAGGTCATTAGTTAAAGAAGTAAGAGGGTACAAATTGAAAAGTTCTTCCATTTCTTGGCGCAAACGTTAAACGTTGTCACATTTTCTATGTCTTAATTACTATTTCCTTTTTCTCAAAGGAACCAAACAGCGTCTCTGATATATATTTCCCGTCTTTCCTCGCGATCATTATTTATTAGGTAATGACGGGACGTAACGGACGTGCTAAATAAGAAAGGAAGGAATGAACAAATAGAATAGGAACATATTTCGTTCTACATTTTGTTTAAAAATAACTCCTCGATATTAAATGATGAAACCAAATGTAAGAAATCGTAAAAAAAAAGAGATAGAAACTGAATGATATATATATATATATATATATATATATATATATATATATAGAGAGAGAGAGAGAGAGAGAGAAAGAGAGACGTCTCATTCATATAATACCAGAAAGTGGTGGTTTATTTCGACCTATGGGCTGAGTTGATTAGTACGCACGATCCACCTTAGAAAAGTGCAAAAGAAAAACACCCGGTAATGCAATAAAAAAATCATCAGAATTAAAATTAAATTTACATTTTCAAATTTGAATGAATATTCCATGCATAATTTACTTCGATGTTGATGCCATCAACTTTGTTTTGGCAAGCTTTCGCTAAAACAACGGCCGATTTCACTGATTAAAAGAATTTGTTTAAAATTTTGATGACTTTTTCTTCCTTTAAATTATTAATATTATCATTATTATTATTTTTCCATGGATAATTCGAAAATGAAATAAAGAAACTGCTGATCAAATGACAGAACTTGGTTATTCAAAGGACACATAAAAAGAGAAACAGAGTCCGCATTTACCATCTCAGAACATCAAATCCAATAAAATTCAATAAAATCGTAAATATCGATTGTGTACAGACAAAAATGAACCTCGTTATCATAGAAGTTAATGTAGAAAACTGCTAAATAAATATGATTGGGTGGAAATAGTTTTCCACAAGGAATAATGCAAATGAACAGTATCAGACTATATGTGTTAACGGTATGTTAGAGTATTTTAAAAATAGCATGTTACGAAACGTTTATTTCGATTAGATCACACTAGCTAGAAAACCACAAAAGAAAATATCTCACCGCAAAAATGTCACCCTTCCAGCAGACAACAAAGACACACTGAAAAAATGTGAAGAAACCAAAAAGATATATGGAAGTCGCCCAGAAACTGAAAAAAAAAATGTTGAATATGAGGATGCTGGTTGAATTAATAATTAATGGCGCACTTGGAACACACCTTGAAGGTATTTAAAAAAAAAGAAGATTGTAATTGATGATCTGCAAATATCCAAACGACAGGATTAAGGGGAAAAAAAGCAAATATGTCAAAGAAATTCTATTTTTAGAACTTTCTGTCACTTGATCTCCAGTGAGAGTTTTTAGAACTTGCTATCACTTGATCTCCTACGAGAGTTTTAGCACTTGCTTTCACTTGATCACCTACGAGTGTTTTAGAACTTGCTTTCACTTGATCTCCAGCGAGAGTTTTTAGAACTTGCTTTCACTTGATCTCCAGTGAGAGTTTTAGAACTTGCTATGAGTTGATCTCCAGCGAGAGGTTTTAGAACTTTCTATCACCTGATTACCTACGAGTGTTTTAGAACTTGCTTTCACTTGATCTCCAGCGAGAGTTTTTAGAACTTGCTTTCACTTGATCTCCAGCGAGAGTTTTTAGAACTTGCTTTCACTTGATCTCCAGTGAGAGTTTTAGAACTTGCTGAGTTGATCTCCAGCGCGAGGTTTTAGAACTTTCTATCACTTGATTACCTACGAGTGTTTTAGAACTTGCTTTCACTTGATCTCCAGCGAGAGTTTTTAGAACTTGCTTTCACTTGATCTCCAGCGAGGGTTT